GTGGTGCGCAGGGGGTGGTCCCTGAGTTTGCCCGCTACCCACGACACTGCCGCAAAGCCTAGCAGGCGTGGCATTTTCTCGACACCAGAGGGGGTGCGCAGGGGGTGGTCCCTGAGCGCGGCCGCTATCCACGACATTGGCGCAAAGCATAGCAGGCGTGGCACTTTCTCGGCACCAGAGGTGGTGCGCAGGGGGGTGGTCCCTGAGCGCGGCCGCCATCACTTTCTCGACACCAGAAGGGGCGTGCACGGGGGGGGGGGCTGAGCGCGGCCGCTATCCACGACACTGTCGCAAAGCCTGGCAGGCGTGGCACTTTCTCGACACCAGAAGGGGGGGCGCAGGGGGTGGTCCCTGAGCTCGCCCGCTGTCCACGACATTGGCGCAAAGCGTAGCAGACGTTGCACTTTCTCTTCACCAGAGGGGGTGAGGAGGGGGTGGTCCCTGAGCTCGCCCGCTATCCACGACACTGTCGCAAAGCCTAGCAGCAGGCGTGGCAGTTTCACGACGCCGTAGGGGGTGCGCAGGGGGTGCTCCCTGAGCGCCGCCGCTATCCACGACACTGTCGCAACGCCTAGCAGGCGTGGCAGTTTCACGACACCAGAGGGGGTGCGCAGGGGGTGGTCCCTGAGCTCGCCCGCTATCCACGACGCTGTCGCAAAGCCTAGCAGGCGTGGCATTTTCTCGACACCAGAGGGGGTGCGCAGGGTGTGGTCACTGAGCGCGGCCGCGATCCACGACACTGTCACAAAATCTAACAGGCATGGCAGTTTCACGACACCGTAGGGGGCGCGCAGGGGGTGGTCCCTGAGCTCGCCCGCCATCCACGACACTGCCGCAAAGCCTAGCAGGCGTGGCACTTTCTCGGCACCAGAGGGGGTGCGCAGGGGGTGGTCCCTGAGCGCGGCCGCTATCCACGACACATTCGCCAAGCCTAGCAGGCGCGGAACTTTCTCGACACCAGAGGGGGTGCGCAGGGGGTGGTCCCTGAGCGCGGCCGCTATCCACGACACCGCCGCAAAGCCTAGCAGGCGTGGCAGTTTCACGACACCGTAGGGGGTGCGCAAGGGGGGGGTGCCCTGAGCTCGCCCGTTGTCCACGACACTGTCGCAAAGCCTAGCAAGCGTGGCACTTTCTCGACACCAGAGGGGGTGCGCAGGGGGTGGTCCCTGAGCGCTGCCGCTATCCACGACACTGTCGCAAAGCCTAGCGGGCGTGGCACTTTCTCGACACCAGAGGTGGTGCGCAGGGGGGGGATCCCTGAGCGCGGCCGCTATCCACTACACTGCCGCAAAGCCTAGCAGGCGTGGCACTTTCTCGGCACCAGAGGGGGTGCGCAGGGGGTGGCCCATGAGCTCGCCCGCTATCCACGACACTGTCGCAAAGCCTAGCAGGCGTGGCACTTTCTCGACACCAGAGGGGGTGCGCAGGGGGTGGTCCCTGAGCTCGCCCGCTACCCACGACACTGTCGCAAAGCCCAGCAGGCGTGGCAGTTTCACGACACCGTAGGGGGTGCGCAGGGGGTGGTCCCTGAGCGCGGCCGCTATCCACGACACTATCGCAAAGCCTAGCAGGCGTGGCACTTTCTCGACACCAGAGGGGGTGCGCAGGGGGTGGTCCCTGAGCTCGCCCGCGATCCACGACACTGGCGCAAAGCCTAGCAGGCGCGGCACTTTCACGACACCAGAAGGGGTGCGCAGGGGGCGGTCCCTGAGTGCGGCCGCCATCCACGACACTGTCGCAACGCCTTGCAGGCGCGGGCAGTTTCACGACACGAGAGGGGGTGCGCAGGGGGTGGTCCCTGAGCGCGGCCGCTATCCACGACACTGTCGCAAAGCCTAGCAGGCGTCGCAGTTTCACGACACCGTAGGGGGTGCGCAAGGGGTGGTCCCTGAGCGCGGCCGCTATCCACGACACCGTCGCAAAGCCTCGCAGGCGTGGCACTTTCTCAACACCAGAGGGGGTGCGCAGGGGGTGGTCCCTGAGCTCGCCCGCAATCCACGACACTTGCGCAAAGCCTAGCAGCGTGGCATTTTCTCGACA